TAAGCTGTAAGACACTAAAACTACAACAATAAGCTGTAAGACACTAAAACTACAACAATAAGCTGTAAGACACTAAAACTACAACAATAAGCTGTAAGACTCTAAAACTACAACAATAAGCTGTAAGACACTAAAACTACAACAATAAGCTGTAAGACACTAAAACTACAACAATAAGCTGTAAGACACTAAAACTACATCAATAAGCTGTAAGACACTAAAACTACAACAATAAGCTGTAAGACACTAAAACTACAACAATAAGCTGTAAGACACTAAAACTACAACAATACGCTGTAAGACACTAAAACTACAACAATACGCTGTAAGACACTAAAACTACAACAATAAGATGTAAGACACTAAAACTACAACAATAAGCTGTAAGACACTAAAACTACAACAATAAGCTGTAAGACACTAAAACTACAACAATAAGCTGTAAGACACTAAAACTACAACAATACGCTGTAAGACACTAAAACTACAACAATAAGCTGTAAGACACTAAAACTACAACAATAAGCTGTAAGACACTAAAACTACAACAATAAGCTGTAAGACACTAAAACTACAACAATAAGCTGTAAGACACTAAAACTACAACAATTAGCTGTAAAACACTAAAACTACAACAATAAGCTATAAGACACTAAAACTACAACAATAAGCTGTAAGACACTAAAACTACAACAATGAGCTGTAAGACACTAAAACTACAACAATAAGCTGTAAGACACTAAAACTACAACAATAAGCTGTAAGACGCTAAAACTACAACAATAAGCTGTAAGACACTAAAACTACAACAATAAGTTGCAAGACACTAAAACTACATCAATAAGCTGTAAGACACTAAAACTACAACAATAAGCTGTAAGACACTAAAACTACAACAATACGCTGTAAGACACTAAAACTACAACAATAAGCTGTAAGACACTAAAACTACAACAATAAGCTGTAAGACACTAAAACTACAACAATAAGCTGTAAGACACTTAAACTACAACATAAGCTGTAAAACACTAAAACTACAACAATAAGCTGTAAGACACTAAAACTACAACAATAAGCTGTAAGACACTAAAACTACAACATAAGCTGTAAGACACTAAAACTACAACATAAGCTGTAATACACTAAAACTACAACAATAAGCTGTAAGACACTAAAACTACAACAATAAGCTGTAAGACACTAAAACTACAACAATAAGCTGTAAGACACTAAAACTACAACAATACGCTGTAAGGCACTAAAACTACAACAATACGCTGTAAGACACTAAAACTACAACAATAAGCTGTAAGACACTAAAACTACAACAATACGCTGTAAGACACTAAAACTACAACAATACGCTGTAAGACACTAAAACTACAACAATAAGCTGTAAGACACTAAAACTACAACAATACGCTGTAAGGCACTAAAACTACAACAATACGCTGTAAGACACTAAAACTACAACAATACGCTGTAAGACACTAAAACTACAACAACATGCTGTAAGACACTAAAACTACAACAATACGCTGTAAGACACTAAAACTACAACAATAAGCTGTAAGACACTAAAACTACAACAATACGCTGTAAGACACTAAAACTACAACAATAAGCTGTAAGACACTAAATTACAACAAATAAGCTGTAAGACACTAAAACTACAACAATATGCTGTAAGACATTAAAACTAAAACAATACGCTGTAAGACACTAAAACTACAACAATACGCTGTAAGACACTAAAACTACAACAATAAGCTGTAAGACACTAAAACTACAGCAATACGCTGTAAGACACTAAAACTACAACAATAAGCTGTAAGACACTAAAACTACAACAATACGCTGTAAGACACTAAAACTAAAACAATAAGCTGTAAGACACTAAAACTACAACAAATAAGCTGTAAGACACTAAAACTACAACAATACGCTGTAAGACACTAAAACTACAACAATACGCTGTAAGACACTAAAACTACAACAATAAGCTGTAAGACACTAAAACTACAACAATACGCTGTAAGACACTAAAACTACAACAATAAGCTGTAAGACACTAAAACTACAACAATAAGCTGTAAGACACTAAAACTACAACAATAAGCTGTAAGACACTAAAACTACAACAATAAGCTGTAAGACACTAAAACTACAACAATAAGCTGTAAGACACTAAAACTACAACAATACGCTGTAAGACACTAAAACTACAACAATAAGCTGTAAGACACTAAAACTACAACAATAAGCTGTAAGACACTAAAACTACAACAATAAGCTGTAAGACACTAAAACTACAACAATACGCTGTAAGGCACTAAAACTACAACAATACGCTGTAAGACACTAAAACTACAACAATAAGCTGTAAGACACTAAAACTACAACAATACGCTGTAAGACACTAAAACTACAACAATACGCTGTAAGACACTAAAACTACAACAATAAGCTGTAAGACACTAAAACTACAACAATACACTGTAAGGCACTAAAACTACAACAATACGCTGTAAGACACTAAAACTACAACAATACGCTGTAAGACACTAAAACTACAACAACATGCTGTAAGACACTAAAACTACAACAATACGCTGTAAGACACTAAAACTACAACAATAAGCTGTAAGACACTAAAACTACAACAATACGCTGTAAGACACTAAAACTACAACAATAAGCTGTAAGACACTAAATTACAACAAATAAGCTGTAAGACACTAAAACTACAACAATACGCTGTAAGACATTAAAACTAAAACAATACGCTGTAAGACACTAAAACTACAACAATACGCTGTAAGACACTAAAACTACAACAATAAGCTGTAAGACACTAAAACTACAACAATACGCTGTAAGACACTAAAACTACAACAATAAGCTGTAAGACACTAAAACTACAACAATACGCTGTAAGACACTAAAACTAAAACAATAAGCTGTAAGACACTAAAACTACAACAAATAAGCTGTAAGACACTAAAACTACAACAATACGCTGTAAGACACTAAAACTACAACAATACGCTGTAAGACACTAAAACTACAACAATACGCTGTAAGACACTAAAACTACAACAATACGCTGTAAGACACTAAAACTACAACAATAAGCTGTAAGACACTAAAACTACAACAATACGCTGTAAGACACTAAAACTACAACAATAAGCTGTAAGACACTAAAACTACAACAATAAGCTGTAAGACACTAAAACTACAACAATAAGCTGTAAGACACTAAAACTACAACAATAAGCTGTAAGACACTAAAACTACAACAATAAGCTGTAAGACACTAAAACTACAACAATACGCTGTAAGACACTAAAACTACAACAATAAGCTGTAAGACACTAAAACTACAACAATACGCTGTAAGGCACTAAAACTACAACAATACGCTGTAAGGCACTAAAACTACAACAATACGCTGTAAGACACTAAAACTACAACAATACGCTGTAAGACACTAAAACTACAACAACATGCTGTAAGACACTAAAACTACAACAATACGCTGTAAGACACTAAAACTACAACAATAAGCTGTAAGACACTAAAACTACAACAATAAGCTGTAAGACACTAAATTACAACAAATAAGCTGTAAGACACTAAAACTACAACAATACGCTGTAAGACATTAAAACTAAAACAATACGCTGTAAGACACTAAAACTACAACAATACGCTGTAAGACACTAAAACTACAACAATAAGCTGTAAGACACTAAAACTACAACAATACGCTGTAAGACACTGAAACTACAACAATAAGCTGTAAGACACTAAAACTACAACAATACGCTGTAAGACACTGAAACTACAACAATAAGCTGTAAGACACTAAAACTACAACAATACGCTGTAAGACACTAAAACTAAAACAATAAGCTGTAAGACACTAAAACTACAACAAATAAGCTGTAAGACACTAAAACTACAACAATACGCTGTAAGACACTAAAACTACAACAATACGCTGTAAGACACTAAAACTACAACAATACGCTGTAAGACACTAAAACTACAACAATAAGCTGTAAGACACTAAAACTACAACAATACGCTGTAAGACACTAAAACTACAACAATAAGCTGTAAGACACTAAAACTACAACAATACGCTGTAAGACACTAAAACTACAACAATAAGCTGTAAGACACTAAAACTACAACAATACGCTGTAAGACACTAAAACTACAACAATACGCTGTAAGACACTAAAACTACAACAATAAGCTGTAAGACACTAAAACTACAACAAATAAGCTGTAAGACACTAAAACTACAACAATACGCTGTAAGACACTAAAACTACAACAATACGCTGTAAGACACTAAAACTACAACAATACGCTGTAAGACACTAAAACTACAACAATAAGCTGTAAGACACTAAAACTACAACAATACGCTGTAAGACACTAAAACTACAACAATAAGCTGTAAGACACTAAAACTACAACAATACGCTGTAAGACACTAAAACTACAACAATAAGCTGTAAGACACTAAAACTACAACAATACGCTGTAAGACACTAAAACTACAACAATACGCTGTAAGACACTAAAACTACAACAAATAAGCTGTAAGACACTAAAACTACAACAATAAGCTGTAAGACATTAAAACATTCGGTCAACTTGTGGATAAAACATGCTAAAGGTCTTTGTAAAAACATGGGATTGGTTATTTTCTGCAGCAGAATAATCCTGCAGGGATAAATAAACAAATTCAGTCGGATTTTGGCTTAAATCGTCTGATTTCCTGTATTTGAACACAGAATTATCACCATCGTGTGTTAAAGTGTGTATTTACTGTTTTCTCTCTCTCTCTCTTTCTGCATGTGCGTGTGTGTGTGCGTGTGTGTATGTGTGTGTGTGTGTGTGTGCGTGTGTGTGTGTGCGTGCGTGCGTGTGTGTGTGTGTGTGTGTGCATGTGTGTGTGTGTGTGTGTGTGTGTGTTGCAGGCTACAGCACGGTTGCATTCGATGGAGCCGGTAATTACGGCCACCCTCCTACACACCACAGCTCCCAGTTCTCCAGCCACTCCTTCAAACACGAAGACGCGCTCGCCCAGCAGAGCACGATGGGTACGTGAAGACGTTGTCTGCAGTCGTTTCTCATATTTCATCTCAGGAGAAGCGTCCGCGAAGACCAAGCTAGAAAACCAGAAACATTTAATGTGTCGCTGATTTATTCTTCTCCCAATCAAACCACTGAAGTTTAGAGCAGCTTCACTTATTTAATGAGCGTCATTGTTTTTGTTTTCTCCACTTGTTCAACTTTGACCCCAGGAAGCAGAAATGGTTTATCCTTTTATGGAAACAGGTCACAGCTAAATAGAAACCACAGATTTAGACATCATTTAAGCTAAAATTTGATGAAAATAAAATTACATTTTTAATGTTTACTTTTATCACTGATAATAAAATCAAGTTTAGCTGAGACTCGTGCGCAGAGCCGCGTGCTTTGATGCTAGAGGAGTTTGATATCAGACAAGAAGACCTTTCTGCAGGGCAGGATCCTCATTATTTGACAAATATGAGCATGAATCCCACATTCTACCCACAGGCTACAAGTGGTGGCTCTGTTGCTTTGCAGCAAAAAGGTTGCTGGTTCAAATCCTGGCTGCGGCCTTTCTGCATGGAGTTAGCATGTTCTCCTCGTGCGTGCATGCGTTACTCCGGCTTCCTCCCACAGACCAGAAACATCCATGTCAGGCTCAAACTGCTCTGGACTAAAATGAGGACAAACATTTCTACGGTAATAAAACACGTCAGACTGTGAGCTGCAGCACAAGCTGCTGTGTTAGACCTCCACGGTCCTGCAGATGAATAAATAAAAGGACAAAGACTCGATTTTGTCCTTTCGTTGTTTAAACAACACATCGGAGCCTCGTCCATTCAGAGCACATATAGTTATTTCTGTTTACTTTAAGCGCTACAGCTGTGTGTTTGGACCTCCCCGTCCCCCTGAGGGTCTCGTCCCTTTATTCGGACGTCTCTGCGCTGACCTTGCCTGTTGGAGGTATAAATCAGCCACATCCTGACTCCAGCTCCCTCGCCGCCTCCCTCTCATCCCTCCTTTCATCTCTTTAATCCCTCATCTGCGCAATTTGTTGGTAAACATAAAAATTTGGATCTTTGTGATTTTTATTTTATTGGAAAAGATAAATTAGAGGATTGGCGATCAGAAGAATTGTTAGCAGTTTTTCTATTTTGTTCATATTTTCAGCTAAATTCTTCTTCATTAAAGTTCATACGTTGTTTTGCATCTTCCTTTCTGCTCCGTAACCATAGCAACATTATACATGATTCATAGTTGGACGCTCACCGGTCACGATCCACGGGTGTGAGCCTTGACGTCAGCGGCCCATGTGACTTTATTTTAACTTTTGCAGCATTTTGGGGACTTTTAAGAAAAAAGTTTGTAATAAAACCAGTTTGAACTGGTCAGAACTAAAACTAAGCACAACTAAAAGATGTTTGAAAACAGAAAATCCACCCATCCATTCATCTTTGGCCGCTTCTCTGGAGTCGGGTCGCGGGGGCAGCATCCTAAGCAGGGAGGCCCAGACTTCCCTCTCCCCAGCCACTTGGGCCAGCTCCTCCGGGGGAATCCCAAGGCGTTCCCTGGCCAGGTGAGGGACATAGTCCCTCCAGCGTGTCCTGGGTCTACCTTTAGGTCTCCTCCGGGTTGGACGTGCCCGGAAAACCTCACCAGAAAGGCGCACAGGAGGCATCCTAATCAGATGTCCGAGCCACCTCAACTGGCTCCTCTCGATGTGGAGGAGCAGCAGATCTACTCCGAGCCCCTCCTGGATGACCGAGCTTCTCACCCTATCTCTAAGGGAGAGCCCAGCCGCCCTGCGGAGAAAACTCATTTCAGCCGCTTGGATCCGCGATCAACCTTTAAACTAATACTCGAGTGTGGCAGGTCAAACTCTTGATTCTATATATCTTATCTGAACTAATTAACAAATATATGGGAAGTTAAGTGAAAGGTTTACTTTATTATTGCTGTAATATTAATATTTTTACAGCATAATTGCCTTCGTTTTTCTGTTTGACTTATTTATTTAGTGGTTTTTATTTAGCAAACTTTTCCTCCCTCCCAGTTATCAAGGTTTTCTGCGGGAGATGTGTTAGAAACTAAAATGTTGGGATTTTTTCCCGTGTGTGTTCCGCAGCTGAGCAGCAGTATCCCGTTCCTCCTCCGGTTTATGGATGCCACACTCCTTCAGACGGCTGCACCAGCAGCCAGGCTCTGCTGCTGAGGAACCCCTACAACAAGTAACACACACACACACACACACACGCACGCACGCACGCACACACACACACACTAATCTATTTCTGTGTGTGAAGCTGGATCTGGTTTCAGAAGCCATTGTTGGCGACGAAGTCGGGTCAGACTAGCAGGATGTGGATCTGAACAGGATGTTCACCTTCTGAGCCGGTCTCACTGCCTCTCGGGCTTCCCTTTTCACCTTGAGCTGCTTCCTTTGGCTCACGGCTTTGCAGAAGTTCGTAGAAAATCACGGTGTCACCGAGAAGAATCGGCGCAGGAAGTTTTGACGCGGCGCCTGCTGATTTATTTCACAACATGTTATTCCTCGTTTATTTTATGGCTGAGCTTTTTCTTTTTGTGAAACGAGGGAATGAATTTCTGGCGGAGAGATGAAGAGCTGAAAATCCTGCAAAACAAATATTTTTTTCACTTAAACCGTTGAGAGTAGCTGGTGTAGGAGTTGTTCTGTCCCTAAAGTCGGGACTGAATCTGCTCTTGGCAAGACCGGCCGTGTTCCTCGTGTGTTTGATACTTTAGTGATCTTCTGTGTAGTTCATGAATCACGCCGTTATCACAAAGCTGAAAATGGAATTTGTTCTTTCATGAAGAAATATTAATTGGCTGTGATAAAAAAGCAGTCAGCAGTTTCACAGGAATAAATCACACTGCTGTGTTTTCCAGAAGCAGCCTGTGATTTCCTGGTTCAGATGAACGGCTGAATATTTCCATCCATGTTGTTGAGTTGGTTATCGACGGTCTTCTGCAACGTTTCCCCTCTTTTCTCTGTTCTCTAATGGTAAATGATTTGTATATGATATAGCGCCTTTTGAGTCCTGGAACCCCTCAAGGCGCTTTACAACACAACCAGTCATTCACACACTGGTGGTGATGAGCTACGATGTAGCCACAGCTGCCCTGGGGCGCGCTGACGGAGGCGAGGCTGCCGAGCACTGGCGCCACCGGTCCCTCCGACCACCACCAGCAGGCAACGTGGGTTAAGTGTCTTGCCCAAGGACACAACGGCAGCGACAGACCGAGCGGGACTCGAACCTGCAACCTTCCGATTTCGGGGCGAGCACTTAGCTCCTGTGCCACCGTCGCCCTCTAGAAGTAACTCAAACGTTTGAAAACACAAAGTTAAGCTAATTCAGCAGAAACATTGTTTTCTTTTTTAGATTTTAAACCTGGATAGAGTTCATTAGAATCCAAAGTGCAACAAGTTAATATATTTTAGGACTTTTTCTTCTAAGATTTCACATAAAAGCATTTTTTAAATGAGTGGTTCCTCATCTTCAAGACAAAAATACATCAAATTCATCCAAAGTTGTGAATAATTGGAACTCAGCTCCTCCCTTCCCCGTGACAATGTTAGGAATAAATGATTGTTCCATCAGAACTTTCATTTATGAGGTATTTTATTTTCAGACCTCATCAAGTTTCATTAAAGTCAACACCTTTCCAGCTACATCCCATCCAACTTTCCTCAAACCAGAGCTGAGAATTCCCAGGAATGTCTAAAACACCCTGCAGTGAAAGTTTTTATGTAGAAAAATGAAAGTGGAGGATGATCGGGATTTCTCTCTGGTAACATTTTATAAATGCACTCCTCAAACCACCTCACCCAGTTTTAGACAGAAGAACGCCAAAGAGCCGTTATCTCTGGCGACAGCGAACTTCCTGTTCGCGATCCATTAAAAAAATAATAATTGTAACACGGGTCACGGTAATCTTGCTCTGGAGGTAATCAGCATTTTTAAGGAGGGACACCTCCTCGCCACACACTCATCTAACCGTTTGTTGTGTTTCTAAATGAAAAATTCCTTCATGCTGCCAATTCCTATCGATGGAAGAAAACAGGAACCCTCAGCAACAAAGTGAAACTTCAGGCTGAGTTTTTAAAGTGGAAAAATACTCTGAGTCTGATTTAGGCACAAACATGACTGACACACACACACACACACACACACACACACACACACACACACACACACACACACACACACACACACACACACACACACACACACACACACACACACACACACACACACACACACGCTGCTGGAAAGACTCATATGAGTGAAGTCAGCCGTGTAATCTTGCAGCCTGGTACCATCAGGCCTGTATTTACTCTGCAGGTCGTCAACTTGGAACATCATGAAGAAAAAACATTCGGAGTTCTTGTTAATCTGCAGAAACAGAAAAAGGGGAAATCTCTGCTTTTCATCAAAGAACAAAACAAAACCAGAATCCTGAAACTGAACTTTTACTCACTTATAAACATGAATCTTCTGCTCGGTTGTAATCAGATAAAAGAGACACGACTTTGCTGAAATGGTTCCAGTGGCGCGCTCAGAAATATTTCCATGGGGGCACCAGATGGTGGCCCACCAACTTGGTTCCTTTGGTAACGCTCGGAGAGTTTAGCCTGTAGCTGTGCATTGTTCCTTCATTCTTTTTCATATAAAAACACTTGTTTCCTAGCCGTCCTTCACATTATTTTTATTTTTATTTATTTTTTTTTTTCGTGTCCTGTCTGGCTGTGAAACAAACAGAATTGATGTCTTTGAACATCTTAGGTGTGTTCTTGCTGTGTCGTATCTAATTCCATGCCGTAGTTCTTTTTTAAAACACAGAGCAGTTTTGTTTACCTGTTTTCCCGCTACGTTTCGTTTGCGACTGCAAACTTCCTCAAACGAAACGTAGCGGGAAAACAGGTAAACAAAACTGCTCTGTGTTTTAAAAAAGAACTACAGCACGGAATTGATGTCTGAATGCTGGTGACAAGCCTTACAGATTTATTCTCAGGTGGAGCATCAAAGCGTCTGCTTTTAATGTCACGCCTGATACTTAAAACTTTATTGTTATTGTTTGTGAATGCTTTTTAATTCCGACCACACACGGAGACAGAGGTGAAAGAGAAAGGAAGAGACAAAAGATGGGGGAGGGGGTCCACAAAAATAAACAATAATGAAGAAGAATCTGCTTCTAGACCTGCAGAAAGAGAGAAGGAAAAAAAAGCAAAAAAAAAAAAAAAAAAAAAAAAAAGGGACAACAACAATACAACAAGATCAAGCTATCACTGCGTCAACTTGATGAAGAAATATATAATCAACATTGTTTAACTGAACAATCACACGATAATAAATCACAGTGCATTAAGTGCCCACCACAGCCTTAAGACCTGTGTTGAACGTGTCCAAGTCCATACTTATGAGAGCACCATGTGAGCACCTGTGTGTGTACACGCGCTTGTTTATGTAAGGTTTCTCTATAGGAGCCACAGCGTCCTTCACATTAACCTCGAATTTGAGAATCACAAACATTTCAGATAAAGAAAACTCTTTGATTTGCTTGTTGCTGTTTCAACTAAAACATCCACAAAAAATATTGGGATTTATATTATTTTAGAAATTGGCAACACTCTGGTACGTACACGTTTATGATTTAGATTGTGATTTATTTAACAGTTTTTTTTTAACATTTCATTGAAACACATTAATTTATTGGTTTTAACTCGTGTCTTGATTTAGTAAGACGAAAGTATGGTTAGGGTGAACATGAACATGATTTATTAAGGGGACTGAGGTTGGTACCATCAGGTACCATCAGGTTCGTCCTGACGTGGTCCTCCTTGAACCGTCACCTTATCGTGGTGGAGGAGTTTGAGTGCCCTAATGATCCTAGGAGCTATGTTGTCTGGGGCACTTAGTGCCCCTGGTAGGGTCTCCCATGACAAATTGGTCTTAGGTGAAGGGTGAGACAAAGAACGGTTCGAAGGATCTTTCATGGCGGTTAAAACGAAGAGTCAGAGTACCCGGCCCGAAGGGTTACCGGGGTCCCACCCTGGAGCCAGGCCTGGGGTTGGGGCCCGTGAGCGAGCGCCTGGTGGCCGGGCTTTCGCCCATGGGGCCCGGCCGGGCCCAGCCCGAACCGGATACATGGGCTCGTCCAACTGTGGACCCACCACCCGCAGGAGGAACATGAAGGGTCCGGTGCAATTTGAATCGGGTGGCAGACCAAGGCGGGAGCCTTGGCGGTCCAATCCCCGGACAAGAAAACTAGTTTTTGGGACATGGAACGTCACCTCGCTGGCGGGGAAGGAGCCGGAGCTTGTGGCAGAGGTTGAGCGGTACCGGCTAGATATAGTCGGACTCACCTCGACACATTGCATTGGCTCTGGAACCCGAGACCTGGAGAGGGGTTGGACACTCTACTTTGCTGGAGTTGCTCCGGGTGAGAGGCGGAGGGCTGGGGTTGGCTTTTTGTTAGCCCCGAGACTCTCTGCCTGTGTGTTGGGGTTTACTCCGGGGGACAAGAGGGTAGCTTCCTTGCGCCTTCGGGTCGGGGAACGGGTCCTGACTGTTGTTTGTGCTTATGGGCCGAATATCAGTTCAGAGTACCCACCCTTTTTGGAGTCCCTGTGACGAGTGCTAGATAGTGCTCCATCAGGGGACTCCATTGTCCTGCTGGGGGACTTCAATGCTCACGTGGGCAATGACAGCTTGACCTGGAGGGGTGTGTTTGGGAGGAACGGCCCACCTGATCAGAACTCGAGCGGTGTTTTGTTATTGGACTTCTGTGCAAGCCGCAGTTTGGCCATAACGAACACCATGTTCGAACATAAGGATGCCCACCGGTACACTTGGTACCAGGGCAGCCTAGGTCACAGGTCGATGATAGATTTTGTAGTCGTATCATCTGACCTGCGGCCGTATGTTTTGGACACCCGAGTGAAGAGAGGGGCGGAGCTGTCAACTGATCACCACCTGGTGGTGAGTTGGATCAGATGGCAAGTGAACATGCCGCGTAGACCTGGCAGACCCAAACGCATAGTGAGGGTCTGCTGGGAACGCCTGGCAGAAGAACCTGTCAAGACGGTCTTCAACTCCCACCTCCGGCAGAGCTTTGACCACGTCCCGAGAGCAGTGGGGGACATTGAGTCCGAGTGGGCCTTGTTCCACTCTGCGATTGTCGAGGCGGCTGTTGCTAGCTGTGGTCGTAAGGTGGCCGGTGCCAGTCGTGGTGGCAACCCCCGTACCCGCTGGTGGACACCAGAGGTTCGGGGAGCCGTCAGGCTGAAGAAGGAGGCCTACAGGGCGTGGCTGGTCTGTGGGTCTCCGGAGGCAGCAGACAGGTACCGGATAGCCAAGCGGGGTGCAGCAGTGGCAGTTGCCGAGGCAAAATCTCGGGCGTGGGAGGAGTTTGGTGAGGCCATGGAGAAAGACTATCGATCGGCTCCAAAGAGGTTCTGGCAAACTGTCCGGCGCCTCAGGAGAGGAAGGCAGCAACTCGCTCACACTGTTTACAGTGGGGATGGGGAGCTGCTGTCGTCAACTGAGGCTATAGTCGGACGGTGGAAGGAATACTTTGAGGAGCTCCTCAATCCCACCAATGCGCATTCCGAGGAGGAACCAGAGCTGGGAGGCCTGGGGATGGACTGTCCGATCTCGGGGGCAGAAGTTGCTGAGGTAGTCAAACAACTACACAGCGGCGGAGCCCCGGGGGCGGATGAGGTTCGTCCTGGGTATCTCAAGGCTATGGATGTTGTAGGGCTATCATGGTTGACACATCTCTACAACATTGCGTGGTCATTGGGGGCAGTTCCTAGGGAGTGGCAGACCGGGGTGGTGGTCCCCATCTTTAAGAAGGGTGACCTGAGGGTGTGTTCCAACTATAGGGGGATCACACTCCTCAGCCTCCCTGGAAAGGTCTACTCCAAGGTACTGGAGAGGAGGGTCCGATCTATAGTTGAATCTCAGATAGAGGAGGAGCAATGTGGTTTTCGTCCTAGCCGTGGAACTGTGGACCAGCTCTATACCCTTGCAAGGGTGATGGAGGGGGCATGGGAGTTTGCCCAACCAATCCACATGTGCTTTGTGGATTTGGAGAAGGCTTATGACCGTGTCCCCAGGGGCACCCTGTGGGGGACGCTCCAGGAGTATGGGGTGGGTGGCTTTCTGTTAAGGGCCATTCAGTCCCTTTACCAGAGGAGCGTGAGTTTGGTCCGCATAGCCGGTAGTAAGTCGGACCTGTTCCCAGTGAGGGTTGGACTCCGCCAGGGCTGCCCTTTGTCACCGGTTCTGTTCATCACTTTTATGGACAGAATTTCTAGACGCAGCCGTGGTGTGGAGTGTGTCGAGTTTGGTGGCAGGAGAATCTCGTCTCTGCTTTTTGCGGATGATGTGGTCCTCCTAGCTTCATCCAGCTCTGACCTTCAGCTCTTGCTGGGTAGGTTCGCGGCCGAATGTGAAGCGGCTGTGATGAGGATCAGCACCTCCAAATCTGAGACCATGGTTCTCGACCGGAAAAGGGTGGCTTGCCACCTCCGGGTCGGGGGAGAGGTCCTACCTCAAGTGGAGGAGTTTAAGTATCTCGGGGTCTTGTTCACGAGTGAGGGTAGGAGGGATCGGGAGATCGACAGGCGGATTGGTTCGGCGTCTGCAGTGATGCGGACGCTGAGCCGATCTGTCGTGGGGAAGAGGAAGCTGAGCCAGAAAGCCAGGCTCTCGATTTACCGGTCGATCTACGTCCCAATCCTCACCTATGGTCATGAGCTTTGGGTAATGACCGAAAGAACGAGATCGCGGATACAAGCGGCCGAAATGAGTTTCCTCCGTAGGGTGGCCGGGCTCAGCCTTAGAGATAGGGTGAGGAGCTCGGACATTCGGGAGGGACTCGGAGTAGAACCGCTGCTCCTCCGGATCGAAAGGAGCCATTTGAGGTGGTTTGGGCATCTGGTCAGGATGCCTCCTGGACGCCTCCCCGGGGAGGTGTTTCGGGCATGTCCTGCCGGCAGAAGGCCCCCGGGTCGACCCAGGACACGTTGGAGAGGTTACATCTCCAACCTGGTCCGGGAACGCCTTGGGGTCCTGCCGGAGGAGCTGGTGGACAAGGCCGAGGAGAGGACGGCCTGGAGCTCCCTAGTTGGGGGACTGCCCCCGCGACCCGGACCCGGATAAGCGGAGGAAGACGAGACGAGACGAGAGACTGAGGTTGGCTTTCCCTGAGGGGGCAGTGGGGTTGTCAACAATTTTTCCAGGGGTGGCAATGCCCCCACCCCAGCCACCCCTTGGGGACGCCACTGCTTGGTTCAGGCCTGAACATGTTGGCCAGTGTTATTTACAACTGGACTCACGTTGAGCCTGGTTCTGCTGCTAAGTGTTGTTTCCTGTGCGTTTGGCTGAACGGGTTCTGGAAAACAAAATGTTTGACCAAAGCTTCTGGACTGGAATCACAACACAAACACAGACATGGTTAAGATTTTAAACTGGAAACACATTTCAGCAGCTTTTTCTGTTGCAGTGTCTTAATTGTTCACAGTTTTCCTTAGTTTATTTATTTAATTGGTTCGGAAGCGGAATGAGATTTTCAAAATAAGAGGGTGTCAAATGGCAAGTGGGAGACACGCCTCAAAGAGTTTGGTGGATGGACTATATTTAGTCCTGGGGGTCGGGGGGCACTGCCCTGCATGTTTCAGCTGTTTCCCTGCTCTAACACACCTGATTCACATTCTGTCATCAACCTTTGGTTGCACCAGGTGTGTTGGTGCAGGACAACATAGAAAACACACAGCAGGTACAGGTAGTGGACCAGGATGGAATATTCCTGGTATGAATATGTGTTTAGGAGAGAGAACAGGGACAAAAAAAAACTTCCAGGTAATTGATGTGAAGTGAATTAGAGATGGGCTCAAGTCGTCCGCAACACAGAAGAAAAATGGACCCATTTATGTAACAAAAGTGCCATGAGTCATTGTTTTAAATCCTCTGCTCCAGCAGCATTACAGCAGAAATACCTTCAGGGTCGGCTGGCCGCGTGCCTCTGCTGCACTGTAAAATAATAGCTCTGTAATGAGCCAGGTACCAGGCACCACTCCTCCCCAGTTCAGACCGCCGTGAGGCTGCAGGTGGTGTGAAGGCTATAAATCCAGTCTGTGAGAGGTAGAAAGTGTGTGTGGATATGGATGATGATTGTGGAGTTTGTTACGCCAGAAAAAGATGAGCTTTGAGTTGTTCAGCTTTGGACTGGGTGGGCCCTTTTAGAGCAGAATGGGAGTTTTTTTTAACCCTTCTGCACCAAGAAAAGGCTGTTTCATTTCTCCTCTTTTGCATTTCTTACATTATTTTGGGGGCAATACGGGTTCAAATGCAATTTTAGATCAAATAATGTATAATTAATAACAATAAAGTAATGATCAGGTAGAGGTTTTTTGCATTTTTCCTAGATTATGGTCAGTAAATGCTTTAACAAAATCTGGGGACCAAACAATGGTCTACCAAGCAGTTGACCTGCTTGTTCAAGGCTCCGGCTAAATCAAAGTCCTTCACACAGCTCATGAGCTTCTACATTTTGTTTTTCCTCCACAGCGGTGACAATTTATATCAAATGACCTCTCAGTTGGAGTGTGTGGCATGGAATCCTGTCAATACTCTGGCATCCACCATAAAGAGGTAGGAAATTAACCATCACACTCATCAAAAATAGCCAGAAATCAGCAAGGGAACAGATGGGTTGTTTTGGATATTTAAACCTTCCCTCACCTGCTGTGTTGTGACGCGGACGTGTGACTCACATCCTTAAAGGTCTCGTTCCCATAGAAACCGTACTTGTTTTTTATAAATGAGTTGCACACGCATGCTGAACAGGGACGTTGCCATCACATGCGTTCGCCGCAGAAAGGAAATGGATAGTGAAACGATCAGGTCATAAAAAGCCAGTTGCTTCTACGTCATAGTGAAAATTAGCATTCATTTCCCCGCCCACCTTGGCATGGTACTGCCCACGGAAAGGAGAGAGCAGAGCGTGTCACAGCTAGTAGAGGCTAACCATTAGCAGCTCCACAACATGGCAGAACACCTTGGGGTTTGTGTTATTTGTGGGGATAATACATTAACATTACATTTTTAACACAAGAAATAAGAGTGAACGGAGGCAGCGGAAGAGTAGCATTGCAGTTAGCCAATCGTAGGTGAGATGTTTACTGTCTTAGTATTGTTAGAGCTTTCTGCAGCTTTTGACACTGTTGATCACAGCACCTTAATTAACGGATTTCGTGACTCGGTGGGGATCTCTGGGACTGTTCTGGACTGGTTTAGATCGTACCTTTCTAACAGAAGTTACAGTGTCTGTGTAAACCAAATCTTGCCAGATTCTATTGATCTGTTCTGTGGGGTACCCCAAGGCTCTGTTTTGAGTGCACTCTTGTTTCAACTGTACATACACCCTCTTGGACAGATAACTGATTCTTTTCATAATGTCTCTTATCCCCTATATGCAGATGACATTCAGCTGCACTGCTCCTTTAAGGATTCTGAATTACTAGAGTGTCTATCAGCTATCATCAGCTGGCTAGAAGATAACTTCCTTCAGTCAAGCTCTGGAAACTGAATGTCTGATCATTGCCCCTGAGAGCACGGTTCCCCTGATTAGTCTAAAACTTGGTCATTTATTTTTTTTGCCGTCAAGACAAACTTAAGGAATTTGTGTTTTTGACCAATAAATGTCTCTTGAAGGTCACGCAAAAACGTTGGTCCGAAACTGGTTTTATCACTTAAAAAATGTCTCCAAACTGCGATGGTTGGTGCCAAAACATGAACTTGAAATGGTTCTCCATGCCTTTATCTCCTCCCGTCTAGATAACTGTAACACACTCTTCACATGTTTTAACAAAAAGCCCTAGACTGCCTTCAGTTGGTCCAGAACTCTGCAGCGAGGCTCCTAACTGGAGCCAACAGAAGAGCACACATCACTCCTATTCTGACGCCTCTGCACTGGTTGCCCGTTAACTCATTCGCTGCCAGCCGTTTCCTGATCGGTAAAGCCCTTCGCAGCCAGCGTTTCTCACCATTTTTACAGTTTTTTTTAAGAGTGACAGAACGTTGCACGCTAGGATGATGTCGATGCCAAAACAACCAAAACAAAGCAGAGACACACCTCCTACATCAGGAAGAATCCGCGCGTTTCGAGCGATATCTAACTAACTAACTTCACATGGTTCAAGCTGACCAAACCAACTGTAACTATCTCAGCACGAGCTATTAGGTTAAACTCTGCATGAAAGACTTTTAATCTGATCAGAAAGGAAGTGAAAAACATCCTTTATGGTTACTTTAATCCAAGTTGTCCAACATTTTCCAAAGGAAATGGTAGAAAAGGTCATACGAAATGTCCCCAAAAGTTCCTCCTTGGCTTTTATTTCCCCCATCTTGCAGAAATAGTTTAGGAAACGCACGAAATCCCTCAAGTGTTACAGCATCCAATGTTTAGACAAACCTTAAAGCTCTCAGAATGATCCGTGTCACCGTGACCTGCAGCGTTGCGCTCTGGTCGGCGTCTGCGTCGGCTCAAAAAATCCCTTTCTACTCCGAGCCAAAAGACGTTTATCATAGTTAATGAATGAGTGTGTGTGTGTGTGTGCGTGTGTGTGTGTGTGTGTGTGTGTGTGTGTGTGTGTTTGATACTTACAAAGATGTGACACAAATCCATTTATTTTCACGGTTTTGCTGCATTTTAAAGAATGAGTCAAACCATGCAGACAAATGTCATTTTTCAGCCGTTTTCATAGAGAAACAGTCATCTGTGATGTTTTGGTGTCGGTGATGGGCAGCAGGAGAAAGGAGGGGATGGGAGGAGGTGTACGGGAGTATTAGGGATGAGGAGGAAGAGAACGGAGAGCAACAAGAGGATCCAGATAAGGAGGAGACATGAGGAAGAGGAAATGAAGGGGAGTTAAATACGAGGAGCGCTCAGGTCGTTTCCCAGGGTTTCGTATAAACTCCTAAAATAGTAAATCGCCTCATCTATGGATCTAAATCATGCAGTTAAATCTTTTGATTTTAAAAGTCGCAGATTTGTGTTTATGAGTTTTTGCCTGTACATTACTTTACTTAAATACATGTTTAATTTGAAAGAAAATGGTAAAAATGACATAATAATAAATAAAAGGATGTGAAATGACTACAAATAATAAATCTACGTTGATATTTTTTACAGCAGACAACAATGAGGCCTCTAGAAAAGCACCACATGAACAAATAACATAAATCACAGAGAATCATAGCTTTCAAGTTAATCAGAAATAATCAAGCAAAAACAACGACATGATCTTTGAGATAAATCGGTATCAGTCGGTGCCAGAATCGGTGCATCTCCAGCTGTTAGTTTCATGAACGCTGAGTTTTTGTGTTTGCATCAGTATTCTTGTCTAAACGCATGAATTTCGTGTCGCTCGAACTGCTGAGGGGATTAAACGAACCCGTGTTCGACCTTAAAACGTCTCCAGAGCTGAAGCAGCATTATCAAAGCAGCACGCAGCTATAATTTACACCGTGTTTTTCTTCCAGTGGGAAAATGGAAGCAGACAAAGAGCACCTTATGATTCCTGCTCAGCAGCTCGGGATGCAAATTCCCGTCGTCCTCCTTTAGTGAGACGGACTGAACTATAACTCATCGACCAGACAAGAGCACTCTGTTTCTCCGCGTGTGTTATCACAGCGAGATATGAGAAGCAACAGAGGACAGCTGCGTCCAACAGAGCGGGTTTTGTTCTTCGCCTTGACTGGGACGTGTGACCGAACGTGTTTCTATACGTGATAAAAAGATGTGATGAACCCCTTAACATCCACTTTAAAAGGCCTGAAAGGTGCACACAGACTAAGTTAGCTGCTGTTGGGAGTTTGTGCAAAAAGGCAGAATATGCAGCATCTTTATCCTCAGCAGTTACTCTTACTAAAAACTGGTATTTTGGTACTGAAGTTGGGACAAACAGAACTCCACTCTTCTTTTGCCTCGCCTGGATTTCGTACCTTTTGTTGTTGCATTTGGGAGAGCTTGAGGTATGCAGAACATCCAGCCTGGTTTAGAGTAAATCCTTTTACAGGTTCAAGTCTGGCAACAATTGCACAGACGACCCTTTTGGACATGTTTTTGTGAGGTCAGGTCCAGGTGGTTCTTTAAGTGTCCACCTCGAGTCTCGAGGAACACTTCAGAGAACGTGCAAACATCCCAGCTGTAACTCCATCATCAAAGAAGGCTCTAATGAAAGGTGATCCTTGGACAAATAAGGCTGCTTTTTCGTTTAGAATTAGCATGGGATGCTGAGAAACCCGTTTTTATGGTTTGGTTTTTAGGTTTAGTTCTTAAGTTTTAGTTTTTATACATTTTCATGTTGTGTATAGTTTTAATGTCCATCCGTCCATTGTCTGAACCCGCTTTGTCCACGCAGGGTCGCGGGGGGCTATCTCCAGCGGTCAATGAACAATCGGGCGGGGTACACCCTGGACAGAGAGCCAGTCCATCGCAGGGCAACACAGAGACACACAGGACAAACACACACACACACACACACCTAGGGACAATTTAGACAGACCAATCAACCCAACAGTCATGTTTTTGGACTGTGGGAGGAAGCCGGAGTACCCGGAGAGAACCCACGCATGCACAGGGAGAACATGCTAACTCCACGCAGAAAGACCCCAGGCCGGGAAGCGAACCCAGGACCTTCTCGCAGCAAGGCAACAGCTCTAACCACTGCGCCACTGTGCAGCCTTAGTTTTAATGTCGTCGTCGTCTTCCTCCGCTTATCCGGGTCGCGGGGGCAGCATCCCAACTAGGGAGCTCCAGACCGTCCTCTCCCCGGCCACCTCCACCAGCTCCTCCGGCAGGATCCCAAGACGTTCCCGGACCAGATTGGAGATGTAACCTCTCCAATGTGTCCTGGGTCGGCCCGGGGGCCTTCTGCCGGCAGGACATGCCCAAAACACCTCCCCAGGGAGGCGTCCAGGAGGCATCCTGACCAGATGCCCAAACCACCTCAACTGACTCCTTTCGATCCGGAGGAGCAGCGGTTCTACTCCGAGTCCCTCCCGAATGTCCGAGCTCCTCACCCTATCTCTAAGGCTGAGCCCGGCCACCCTACGGAGGAAACTCATTTCGGCCGCTTGTATCAGCGATCTCGTTCTTTCGGTCATTACCCAAAGCTCATGACCATAGGTGAGGATTGGGACGTAGATGGACCGGTAAATCGAGAGCCTGGCTTTCTGGCTCAGCTCCCTCTTCACCACGACAGATCGGCTCAGCGTCCGCATCACTGCAGACGCCGAACCGATCCGCCTGTTGATTTAAATACATTAGTTTTAATGTATTTTTTTAAATTTCAGCACTTTGGTCAGTTTTATACCATTGTAAGGTGCTATACAACATAAGTTGGCTTGGTTTCAGGTCAAACGCTTGTACATTTTAGTCCCTGACCTGGTCATGTCGGCACATGATGCACTAAGTGGGGCTGAGCTGCATTTCAGAGATTTATGACTCTGAATTATGACCCTATCTCCTTTACATTTGTCTGGTGATACATCTGTCCATGTCGATGTCTTCATCAGGGGCGGATTAAGGACTGCAGAACACCCGGGGCTTAACACACGCACACACACGTGACACGCACTAGTCACTATCATATATATTTGTCTTGTACCACATAATTTTTAATCTGAAGCTACATATTAAGCATATTCAGGGCAGAGTATTGTTCCTGTTAGTGTTTAGTGTGAGATGATAGTAAATATTCCCGTTCTTTCTCCAACAACTTTACCTGATAAGCTAACTTTAGGCAAACCAGCAGCTCAACAAATATTTTCAAATAAGACTCACAAACCTGAGTCAACACCAGTCTCATCAAAGCTGGGGTTCTGTCGCCGTACTTTTGGTCTAAAAAACGTCCTTATGTCCATCTTCACTCATGCGTTTCAGGCAGAAACTGTTGAAGAAGCCGGCTGCTGAAGGGCTTCTTCTTCAGTGGTGGAGGCTCAGGCAGGCTGTATACAAACTACTGCCAGCTGCTCCCTCTCTGTTGGACTTTGGTACTGCATGTTACTTCCGCGTTTTAGATCCGGGGCTTTTCATAAAACATCCGGGGCTTCAGCCCAAGTAGACGGGCCTAATGCCGCTTCATTATGAGTTTTTATCATTGTACAGCCCTTAAACGTAGAACTTATTTACTGATCATTAGTTTGTGACTCCTAGAGGTCGTTGGATAAAGGGGTTAAGGGTCACAGCACCAAACAACAGTGTCAGCACGTCATTTTGTTGATAATAAATGACCTCTTAATTCTTGGACTTTTAGATCTAAGGACAGCTTTTGATACGCGTGACTACGAGTGTTGGGTTAAATGTTCTTCATTAGTTTTAACGTTTAAAATGTGTTGTTCATCCGCTTTGCTGTGGGGTTCCTCAGGGTTCGACCTTTGGACTTGTTCTGTTTTCTCTGTATCTGTTCCTTTTTAGTTGCCTTTATTGTTATTTTTGACTCGGCCAAATCTTCTCCGATGAACTTGCGTTGACTTGTTTCTGATTTAAAACGGAATGTACCTTTAATTAGTAGCTTGTTTGGTAAGTTCTCTGTGTTTGTGTGTTGGCAGCCATGCAGCGGGCTACGACAGTGACCCCAGCACCCCGATGGTGTACAGCTGCAGCACACAGTACCGCATACACACTCATGGAGTCTTCAGGGGCATTCAGGTGGGACTGCAGCTGCACACGTGAACAACTTTATTTATCATCAACAGGTCATCATCCGGTCACCTCGGTCTGCACACGCTCACTTTGTTTTCTGCTCATGTTCAGTGTCACACGTGAGAACACCACAAACTCACACGCGCACACACACGCGCACACACACACACACACACACACACACACACACACACACACACACACACACACACACACACACACACACACACACACACACACACAGAATAACGATACAATTTCCATAGGAGGATTCACATGTTAATTAATCATTAGATTTTAATTATTGTCTGTCAGCGGCTCCAAAAGACGAGGAGCAGGAGCCTCTCCAGACCTGCTTTTACTCCACGGCGGAGGTGGTTCCTCCAGAGGCTCATGGGTTCATTCTTCATCCTGCTTCTTCTCTTTCTTTAAGTTCTGCTGCAGGACACAAGAGTAAACAGCGGCTCACTTATAGGTCTCTTAAAGCATAATTTAAGAGCTGCTTAAAGGTGATGTAACAGATGGAGCTGAGAGAAGTGATGTCCTGCTTTGTGTTTATTACAGAAACAGCTTCATGCTTTGAGGGGATGTTTAAGTAATGACTCCCCTTGAGCATGAAAACGCTGTAAAAAGTGAGGTCAAATGGAAAAATGATAAACAAATATATAACAAATAAAACTTTAGAGGATGACGACGCAGAAAGACAAACTTCACAAACTAAAATGGTTTTTCATTTGACTTTTGTTTGTGGGTAATTTTATGAAACCAGCATTTTTTTTTTTACATGTCATGTTTACACACAGGGTTCTCCAGAAAAAGCGAAGCCAGAAACCACGGTTTGTCTCTGCTTTGGCTCACTGATGCTGCGTTTGTTAGCCTAAGGCTCATTTGAGGTTATTTGCCACTTTTAGCCACTGAGCCTTTGCAGACATGCATTCAAAAAATCTGGTGAGCAGGATCACACAGCATTCAGCATGATGGCTTAATCAGCCAATCTGAAATTCAAGAATTTTATTTTTACAATTTTGACCCATGAATGCAACGCTGAAGAGCAGCAATCCTGTGTCTGTATTGGCTCAAAAATGAAGAATCGGTGCACCTCCCGGGCTTCTAGGTGTCCCAAAGATGGAGTGTAAGACAGTTGGTGGTCGTGATGTTGCTCATCTCGCACCGCTCCTCTGGAACGTGCTCGCTTTGGATGTTAGACAGGCCTGCTCTGTGGAGGCTTTTAAAGCTAGACCAAAGACCCTCCATCAGGGTAAGTTCCTGTGGTTCTTCTGATTTAGTCATTCTTAGGAAACGTTTTTGTCTGGTTTGTTTTAAAATATTTTTATATAGTGCTCATGCTCTTTTTTATACAAAGCTATGCATTTTTAAAACTGCATTTATTCTATAACCGTTGATTTTCTTTGTGAAGAGCTTTGTTAGAAGGCTACAAATAAAGTTTATTAATATTACTGTAATTATTATCTCTTGTGCACTCACAATGTGTCACTCTGCTGTCGGCGGGCGCTCCGATTCACTAAATTGTTCTGCCAAAACCTTTTTGTGTATGACTATTATTATTTTAACATTTTGCTTTCCAGATGCACTGAAATCTTTAGGTTGATAAGGCCGGGAGGCACCAGTTGCTGATCATCTAAATCATTTAGTTTAATTTTAAATATATAATAATTAATGGTGTGTGTAACTCACAGTATAATGAATCATTTAAGGAAGTAAGTGTTATAATAATGTAAATATCTGTATTATCAAAACTTCTGTAACCTTAGTAATCTTTTTTTAGCTTAGTAGCGTTTGATGTGCCGTGATGAAACGTGCTGCACAAAGCAGAGTTAAACGTGTACATTTAAACTTCTCATGCCCTCTCATGCCTCCTAGCGTCGCTGCTAACAGTGCTAAGCACAGCAGCTCTTCACTTTCTCTGGTCTGTATGCTAAACATGGAGGAAATGAAGAGCAGATGGTTTTAAGCCAGAGGAGACGGCGGCGGCGCGGAGGGAAGGGTGGAGAAAGTGTTAAAAGAGTGAAGCGAAGATAAAGGAGGGTCATGTGTGTGTGTGTGTGTGTGTGTGTGTGTGTGTGTGTGTGTGTGTGTGTGTGTGTGTGTGTGTGTGTGTGTGTGTGTAAGTCAGAAAAGAGGATGTTGAATTGTGTTATTCTCCTCCAGCGACGCCTGAAATGAGCAGAGCAGTGGGGGCGCTCCGAGAGGGGCGCTGCCTAAAAGGCGTGACTAACAGCTCCCTCTGGGGTGAAGTCAGTCTGGGGTCATTTTACTACTAATTCCCATCTCATGAATATATGACCAGTTTATTGTAATGATCCCCACAGATCACATGCACGGAGGAGATTTAATTGTCTGTTTAAATTACATTTCACTGCTTCAGTTATTGATGTGTTTTTGTTCACTTTAGCTTGGGAGGTTTAGCTTTGAATGCAAACTGTGTGTGTGTGTGTGTGTGTGTGTGTGTGTGTGTGTGTGTGTGTGTGTGTGTGTGTGTGTGTGTTTGTGTGTGTGTGTTGTGTGTGTGTGTGTGTGTGTGTGTGTGTGTGTGTGTGTGTGTGTGTGTGTGTGTGTGTGTGTGTGTGTGTGTGTGTTGTGTGTGTGTGTGTGTGTGTGTGTGTGTGCAGGACGTGCGACGGGTTCCCAGCATCACCCCGGCCATCGTTCGATCAGAGGGCAGTGAAAAGCGTCCGTTCATGTGCGCTTACCCAGGATGCAACAAGCGCTACTTCAAACTGTCTCACCTGCAGATGCACGGCCGCAAGCACACAGGTGAGAACGGCCAACCGTCTGGCCCGCCGTCCTGGCCTTCAAAGTCTTCAGCGGACAGAGAGAGGATTTCATTTATCTCTTCGTTTTCTTGACTGTGACTCGGGAAAGTTTTCTCCTCCATCCTGGGTGTTCTGATTTATACAGGAGACTGGTTGGTAACCAATGGCAACAGCTGGATGTGATGATGTCACTCCCTCGCCGAGTTAAGTGAAAATAAAAAGATCATCCTACATCAGAACTGCTTTTGGTTAACAACTGGAAACATCTGGCTTAGAAGGCGTGTCCTATCCAAACCCATCCACGAGCAGTGGTGTGCTGAGCTGAGTTACCATGGTTACCTACTGTGCGTTGTTTCGTGTCTCCTAAACTATAAACTTTTCAGGATTTCTTT